ATGAGTGGTGTATGATGAGTGGTGTATGATGAGTGGTGTATGATGAGCGGTGTATGATGAGTGGTGTATTGATGAGTGGTGTATGATGAGTGGTGTATGATGAGTGGTGTATTGATGAGTGGTGTATGATGAGTGGTCTATGATGAGTGGTGCTTTGATGAGTGGTGTATTGTTGAGTGGTGTATGAACAGTTCTTGAATGTCCGTAACACGGAAGTTTCGTACACTAATCTTCCTTTGATCACGATCAATATCAAGACCAATATCAATGTCAAAAGGAACTCCACAGGATTCAAAAAATCCACAGGAACTCCACAGGATCTCCACAGGAACTCCACAGGATCTCGACAGGGTTCTAAGCTCCACAGGATCTCCACAGGAACACCACAGGATCTCCACGATCCATATTGACCAATAGCATGATCAATATCATGATCAATATTTGAAACCAATATTGACCTATATCGACCAATATCATGACCAATATTATATTGATCATGAGTGTTTTGGCTTCCAAGTTGACCATTTTCAATATTATTGAAAAATTTTGAAGAACCTGATCGCCCACAGCGCATAGAGTATGTAGCTCTCTCGGCTCATCGGTCCGGAGACTTTTCGGCTCAACATCATCTGCCTGTAGTACTTCAGCAGCGTTGGCGACCAGCTCTCTTGTTGGGTGGATTCCTGCCCCACCCCCAGGAGCATTATATAACTCCTGCGTGGCCTCTATGGCCTGTGCTGAGAGCACCCCAGGGAAACCAATGCCTACCGCACGGACTTTCTGCGGCTCCCCGAAAATGCGCTCTCCCTTCAAATCGGCCTCGGCCTCGCTGGACTTGCTCCCGCCCTCGCCCTTCTTTGGTCGACTCCTCTGCGCAGAATACCTCCGTGCCTTTCGCCGCTGCCGATTCCGATTCCGCTTCGAACCCTGAGGATCCGATATTGAAAAATCAATCTTACGATTGGTCGTCAGCTTCCTGCAGCGATGGACACGCTGATCCAGCGGGTCAAGTCACTCGAAGCTCAAGTGAGCGGCCTTGCCTGGAGCTCAGCCCAGAGGCTGGGAGCTGCTTCCCAGCGACACCGCCACCCTGTCGCCCCGGCAGGGGCTTCGCATCGCCACCGCAGAGCAACGTGCCGAAGTTCAAGCCCATCAGAGTGGAGCCTAGTGGACAAAGGGTCATGGAAAAGAGAGGCAAAACGGAGAGAAAGGCGACAAAGGAAAAGGCAAAAGGGCAAGAAGGGAAAGGAGAAGCCGAAGAAGGATTAGAGAGAGCGAGAGGAGCGGGGCTTATTCTATGAGACGAGCAAGTGCAATGCCGGGACAAGTGATGAGACGGGGCGGATGAGCCGTGGAGAGGAGGTGAAAGGGCTACAGAAGAGAAGGATGCTATGACAGCCAGTGGCCACATCGCCGTTGAGAAGGACCCAGCAGCAAGGCGGGTAGTAGAGCATCACTATCCAGGGACCCTTCACTCCCCGACGTTGCACAGATTGGAGAGAAGGAGGTGATCCAGTGGGCATTGACTTATGGACAGGTGGAGCTGAGCTGGTATCAATCGGGGCGGGGCCGCCGGGAAAAGGCGCCCTGCGGGATGAGAGATCCTCACACGTCCAGCGCACCTCAGCCATGGTCGAAGCACATGTTCCTTGGGCGCAAACCCATACGCTGATGGAGAGCGTGGCATCAATGAGAGCTTCGGAGATACCTGGGTTTTGCGAAGCAGGTAGCTTGACATGGTGCAATCGGCAGCGTTTATACTGGTTAACGTGGGACATCCATGAACACAGTACAGATGTCTTGATTCATGGCCGTACGCTTAGCTTGTCGGGGACCAGCCCTATAGGAGCTATCGGTAGAAGCGGGATGGACAAAGGTGGATCCGAACCAGGCTTTCCCGACATTCACCACTTCACGGCCAATGGAAAGCCGAGGACATCGACCAGCCGGACTTCATTCCTGCGATGAGCAAACCATTCCCTATAGATCGGGCAAGACAATTTCCTAACTAATAGTTAACTCTGTTGTCTGCAGACAAATATTTAACTAATAGTTAATTCTATAAAAGCAAAAAATAGACAATTTTTGTTTAACTATTTTGAGACAATTTTGGGGGCAATTCTATTTTTTATCTCTTTTTCTAACTATTTTTAACTTGCATTTTTATGGACAATTCTATTTTTACACCTTTTTTGGTATCATTTTCTGGTGGACAATTGATTGAAAAAAAGGACTGTTTCGAATGAAAAACAATATTTTTGTGTTTTGTGGAAAGCTTGTTGATATGAATTTTCTGGAAAGCTGGAAAATTGGGTAAGAGAATTGTGATAACTCAGAGTTCTTGTGCAATGTTGTAGGATTACTTTTAGACATGTGCGAAATCCATGAGGTAGGATTATTTTTTTTATGCATGGGCCAGGTCGAATTACTGTGTGTGATGAGCCTGCTGTACTTGGTAGGATTACTTTGTGTGATGAGCCTGCTGTACTTGGTAGGATTACTTTGTGTGTTGAGCCTGTTGTACTTGATAGGGTTACTTGTTTTCCAGTCTTGGTTCAAATCTTTTGACAGCTCATTTGACAGCCATGAAAAGGCTGGCACCTGACCCTAGCATCAGTACAAGTGATTTGATGGGGCCCTTCGAGACCATGTTCAAGCAAATGGGCTGCTGGGATCTGCTTTCCTTGGTTGAGCCACCCAAGAATGGGAAAGTCACCTGGAAATCTGCAGCTGATCCTTTTGGCCAAAGGCATGTGAGCCAGCTGTTCCACAGGCTCTTCAAAGTTGCCAGAAATGGCGTCTTGGCAAGCAGCAAGGTGAAGCTTGCCCTTGTGAAGCTGCAGCACCAGAAGCAGAGCATGAACTTCAGCAAGCTGATGGATGATGATTGGCAAGACAAGGTGGGTGAGACCTTTTGGTAGGGTTACTTGTCTGGATAGGATTATTGGTCTTTTGTGCTGTCCTCAAACTGCTTCAGCTGTTTGTTTTGAAAGCCACGGAGGCCGATGATGATGGTGCGACTCGAAGCCAGCCTGTGGCTGCTCCTATGGAGAAGGGGCTTCTTGCCAGGCAGATTTTGGTAGGATTATTGATGCCTGCTGCTGGTGTAGGATTACTTTGCCCACAAGCTCATCTCATGGTCAGCACTTTGCATTGCCAAGGCTCAGTGGCAGGGGCGACAGCACCCTTGGGGAGTGCCTTGGTAGCTGTGGGACGCTAGGATTGTTTGTTTTGGTAGGATTACTTGTGAATGTTGTGGTGTATGTAGGATTACTGGTTTTCTTAATCCTGGTTTTCTTGTGATGGTGGGGATACTCTGTTTTTGTATGCACTTGAGGCCCTTTGTGGATGAGGCTGGCGATGTGTGCGAGTTGGTGGTGGAGGAGGAAGCTGCCCAGTGCTTGGACGAGATGGCAGTGCTCTTGCAAGCTCCTGTGACCCCAAAAGGAAGCCATCCACAGCACCTTGGCCCAATGTAGGATTACTGTTGGGTATAGGATTACTTTGGCTACTGTAGGATTATTGCTTCCTGTCTTGCAATAGTTTGTAGGATTCAGGGGTGCCTTGTCCACTGCCAAGGCATGGTGATCGACCAGTGCCAAAGACACCTCCTGAGTTTCTTTGCTGGAATGGTAGGATTATTGTTGGTTGACTGTATAGGATTACTGTTGGTTACTGTTGGATTATTTTTGCGCTTGTAGGATTACTGGGATGTTAGGATTTTTGTGCGCTTGTAGGATTACTGTTTCCTTTGCTTTGCTATGATGGTGGAAGCTGGTCGATTCTGTGTCAATCTGAGGCCAAAGGCAAGCTCCCCAAAGGCAAGTTCTGCAAAGGCAAGTTCTGCTAAAGGGCACCTTAGCTGGAATGTTAGGATTATTTTTGTGCTTGTAGGATTACTGTTTCCTTTGCTTTGCTAGTCTTTTGAGTCTGGTTTATCCAAACCTATTCTTCCTTGTCATTCCTGAGGTATGGAGGGAAAGGACATAGGAAAGGAAAGGGGCAGGGATCGCCACTGGTCTGCATTGAGAGAAAAGGAGCTAGGATTACTCTTCAAGACTAAACAAGAGAAAGACATAAGTTGCAATGAGACAGCTGTATGTGAGGAATGAAAGCAAAGGCAAAGGCAAAGGAGCGCAGATGCCACTAGTCAGCATTGAGTGGGAAAGATGCCCAATGTAGGATTACTGTTGGCGGTTTTTTCTAGGATTACTGTTGGCGGTTTTTTCTAGGATTACTGCTGGTGTTTTTCTATGATGCATGTGAGGCTTTTGCACTCACTTTTGATGAGTCGAGACCCTTGTGATGATGCCAAAGGTGGAAGGCTTGGTGGAGTCAATGCTGATTGTTAGGATTACTTTTGCGTGCTGGTAGGGTTACTTTGAATGTGTATAGGATTATTGAGGTTGAAAACATGTTACACTCATCAAAAGCAATTCTGCCAGGAAAGGCAAAAGCGATTCTGAAGAGGATGAACCTGCTGATGAGCAGTAGGCTTCTTGCTGATGGTAGGATTACTTTTGATTTGAGCAATTGATTAGGATTATTGGTGACTTGCAAAGAGTTTCGGATTATTTCTGGTCAAACAAGCTTTGCTTCATTTAGGGTTTCTGGTGGGGCAAGGAACATGGTCACATTGTCTTCTGGCACAGGCAGAGATGATTCGACCATCCTCCAACAATGAGAGTATACATATATATCACAACTATTTTAAAAACATGTACACTATCACAAAAGAAATCTTATAAAACATGTTTGGAAACATTTGTCAGCCATGCAAAAACACTAAGTCTTTCCCAAAAGAGAATCAATCCTCAAATATTTGCAATGATAATGCCTTTACCAAGTCATGACAACTTTCAAGAAAACCACTAAAATTTACTAAACAAAAATGAATAAAAAGTGGTCAAAAGGTGGTCAGAAGTCATGACAACAATGAAAAAGAATTGGAAAACACATACTAGCCAATAGAACAATGACCAACTGTTGGTCAGAAGTCATGAAAACAACCAAAAATAATTGAAAAGACATACTTCCCAATTAGAAAAATGAACAAATTTTGGTCAGAAATCATTAAACACACCAAAAAAATCTTTGCAACACATAATTTTCAATAGAAAATACATATTTTTATAGTATTTTTGGGTAAACAATTAAAAGTTTGTTGAAAGTTTGTTGCAAACTTTCATTGAAACTTTCACCCTGGAATGTCAAACTTTCAGTGAAACTTTCACCCTGGAATGTCAAACTTTCAGTGAAACTTTGACTCTGGAACGTCAAACTTTCAATGCAAACTATTCTGTTAAAAATTATGTTTTTTCGAAGATTTTGTTTAATGATTTCTGACCAAAATTTGTTCATTTTTCTACTTGGGAAGTAGGTGTTTTTCAATACTTCTGATCAATTTGTGGTCATGTTTCATTCAAACATATTTTTTGTGTTTTTGATAGGATTATAGATTTCATTTAGCATTAAAGCATGTTTCTTTGGGCTAGGATTACTAATTTCATAGGATTACTTGACAGGTTTCTCCTGGGTTTTAGGATTATTTTCTTGCTTGGGTAGGATTATTTCTCCAGTGTTGTGTCTTGTTTTGGTCTTGTTTTGCCAAGTCTTTGTCCTCAGGGTTGTTGGTTAAGATTACTGTTCTTTTTCTAGGATGCTTGGCTTTCTTGCATGTAATGTGGTTGCATTGTGACATGCACACCAGCAGCCACTAAGAGGAACAAGTTGACTTATTTTGGCCAACCTGTCTGCCATGCCGATTGGTGACAAGCACTTGAGGGCCTGGTGGGAGCAAGGGCAGTTCAGGCTCTATGTGGTCCAAGTTGATGCCTGGACAGGCTATGAGCGATGGTTTACCATTGAGAGGTGGCGTGACCTTATGAGCTATGACACTCAAGCTGAGAGGGATGGAAGAGTTCATGCTGAATATGCCTCCCTTGGACTGAGGACTTGGCAAAGACCAAGAAGCAGAAACTACCGATGAAGCAATAACCAGGAAGCTGGAAAAATAAAAAATTAATACACATATAAATTGAATTTTTGGACTTATTAAACAAAATGCAATATTGTATGGACCAAAGTTTTTGTTCCAAAGACAGCTGTCTCTTTGCAGTTGAAGTTTGTGGACTTTTTGGTGTAGGATTATTTTGGCAACTTCTAGGATTACTGGTTTTGGGGAAAACTTCTAGGATTGCTTCTGGCAGAGTTTTTGAGGTTAGGATTATTGGAAGCTAATGGGTGCAGCTGTAAGCTTAGATCCTCCAACAGCAATACTTGCTCAAGCAAGAGCAAAATACCATACAGTGCCATGCCTCAGCCAAGAAAGAAGCCAGCGCAAAGTGCAGAAACAGGGCATTTGGCCTTGGAGGATGATGAAAAGGTGGTTGCCTCTGAGGAAAAGGAAGAAGGAGATGAGAAGGTGACCAAGGAGGCAAAGGGCAAGAAGAAGGAAAAGGAAGAGAAGTCGACCAAGGAGAAACGTGACAAGAAGAAGGCAAAGGAAGAGAAATTGACCAAAGAGAAAAATGACAAGAGAAAAATTCAAGCCTGGCAAAGATGGGACCCTGGAGACTCCATTCCAAATTTTGTCATGGAGCTTCACAGCACTTTCTTCAGGCCTTTGGCCTGAAAGTGACTATTTGGGTCACAAGTGGCCTGGTGGCAAAGAGATCTGCCCATATAGCTGGTCTTCCAAGAAGTTTGGTGCATAGGATGTGTTTAGGATTATTGTTGCAATTGACATGCTTTGCATAGGCTTGTTGTTCCATGCGTTCTATTCCTTGTCCTAAGGTATCCTGCAGGTTCCATTGCGTGGCAAAGGGCCAACACCCCATTGGCTTCTGGATACCATGCCAAATTCATTGGTGTGAAGGGCGATTTGGACTTCTTTGCAGGTTCCTTGGGGCTGCCAAGGTGGTCTGTGCTGGCAGGACCATGTGCTCATTGCAAATGCACAAGAAGAGGATTGAACAGGTGGACACATTTTCTCCCAAGTGCACCTTGGCGAAGCACTGTTTGGACTTTGGACAGCTGGAGAAGCTGGGGCCAGAAAACACAATGCAAACTGTTTGCCATGCCTAAGATGTATGGCCTCAGTGCATTGCTTGATTTTATGCACCTCAAGCATGTAGGAACAGACCAATACCAACTGGCTGGAGTATTGGTTGTGCTCACACACTATGTGCTGCCTGGCAATGTCGAAGACAACACCAAGCAGCTGTGGGCAGAACTGAAAGCTCTGTGCAAAGAGCTGAATATCAAGGATTGCTATTTTCAAATGAAGCCTAGCGTGTTTCTCAGAAAGAAGCATGGTGGCAAGATGAGGGGCAAGGCAGCTCAAATCAAGGCCCTTGCCAGGCCATTGACAGTGTTGTTTGAAAGGCGCATGAACCCAGCTTCAGAAGTTCACAGAAAAATCCTGTCCATGCTCAAAGCAAACTGCAAAATGGAAAGGCTCATGGCAGAATCTGCCACTGACCTGGCTTTCACTCCAAATGATGCAAAGGCATTTCACCAGGCATGCTGCCAAATGGCACATTTGAATTTGCATGTGTGGCGACATTTTGCACAAGAAGATGTGCCCCCAATTTTCCAAGTGACATCTAAGATGCACATGCTGCAGCACCTCACTGAGAATAGTGGGGCCCTGAACCCCAGGATGACCTGGTGCTTTTCTCAAGAAGATTTCACGGGGGCGGTCCGGCACATGGCACAAGATTGTGCAGCTGGAACACCACCTTTGATGGCTGGAGCTAAGCTCATGGACCACTGGCTGATAGCTTTTGAATTGCTGCAATGATTGAAATACTAAAGACTCAACTATTACAATTTAAAAATTTGGTAGGATTATTGCACAATGTTGTAGGATTATTGCTCTTTCTGGGCCATGCAAGCAGAAAGCAGGCCAGCCAAACACATTTTCTATAATATTGATATGGTTTGTCTAAAGAACAAGGTTGAAATTCAGACTTACAGAAAGAATGGTCTCAAGAAAGTCGCTTTAACAAGCAGAATTGTTCCAGGAACTGTTTCAAAAAATGTATTTAACAAAGAAATACTCCATAAACTGTCTGAAAAAACAAACTTTTAAAAAAAAAGGACACCAAGAATTGTCTTTAAAAAACTACAAATTATAGAATTGTCCCAAGAATTGTCCTTAAAAAGAAGGTTAATTTTTTGAATTGCCCCCCAGAATTGTCTCAAAAATAGTTAAAGAAAATTAATTATTTCTTTCGAAAATAGTTTTAAAAATTATCTAAATAGTTAATTTTTTTAGAGACAAACAATTGTCTTGCCCGATCTATAGGGTTACCAGGAGGGACCAGGATCAGCATCGATTCCCCCCGTACCAAGATCTCCCTCAGCATTGCTTGGTAAACTGCAAGGGTGTATATCGGATTCCTTCCATCCTGGAACGGGAATATATGATGGGATTGCCTGCGGGGTACACTCAGATGTGCGTGCCAAAGACACAGCGGAAGAAAGCCGAATACAGCGACAAACGCCTCAGCCTGGTCGGAAATGGATGGTCAGTGCCTGTGGTAGTCTGGTTATTGAGACAACTTTTGGGCCCTCGGGGGTTGTGCCCTGCTCTTTCTCCTTCAGCAGTACTAGGACGGTTAGACCTGGAAGGAAATCCCTACATCCAGTCCCGGCTGATGAGGTCGCCCCTTCGGCCCGATCAGTCTCAAACCAAGAGACCTGCGCAGGCCTTAACTAATCAACTGGGGCGGTTGGTTTCCACAAAGGGGGCAGACTTGATGCTCAACAGCACTCCTGACGAGGTTCAAGGACATCAACGACTGCGACATACCATCAACCCGAAGATGTGGAAGTGGTAGGTCGTCTCCGGTTGGAAATGGTTGGGTCGGGGTGAACACATAAATTCCCTCGAGTTGAGGGCGTCTTTGGCCGGTCTCCGGTGGAGATTGGAACATTACAGAACCATGATTGTCGTATTTTGCACCTCACGGATTTGCTCGTCTGTTTGCGCAGCATGACTAGGGGAAGGACTTCGAGCAGGCGCCTCAGAAGAACCTTGTGCCGAATAAACTCGCTCTTACTAGCTCACAATGTCGTTGGCCTCTGGGGGTACGTGAGTACCGATCTCAACCCGGCGGATCGTCCGTCGCGGTGGGCGGTACAAACCAAGTTTCGCCATACCAAAGGTCGCCTTTGAAGGCAGCACCCAGGCTAGAAGAGCTATAGAGATCGGCAGAAGTTAGGAACACTAAGGCAGTTAACGGTTCAACCGTCCACAAGAGTCCGCTATGACAAAGCGCTCACCCGCTATTTTGACCTTCCTTAAGGCCGAAGGCCTGCATGTACCTAGTAGTCGTGAACATTTGGATCTTTTAGTCATGGAATACCGAACACGGGGAGGGGCGTGGTCTGGCCGCCGACACCCTGGCCTCCTTACAGGACCATGATGCCAAGATGTGGGGACATCTCCCTGGCCCCTCCAGTCCCTGAACATGCAGGTGTTGCATAGTATGGTAGCTTTGTGCTTTTACGGCATTTTGCGCGTGGTGAGCTGTTGGAGCTGTTGGATGTAGTTCGCAATAGGGTAGAGGTTTCCAAGAAATTGCGGAATGCTGTCATAGCCTTAGGCCTCACCAAAGCTGGTAAACGCGCAGCAGTTCAGGAAAGTGTGTCGATACGTCATGACACTGCCCTCCGTTATGTGCAACATTGGGTGACTTTAGCTTCGCCCCACCAGAAGCTTTGTCCGACGCCTGCATGATGGCGTAAATGGTTTAAAACACGCGTTGAGAGTCTTCAGCTGGAAACCCTTGAACTCAGACCCTACTCTTTGAGGCGTGGCGGAGCCACATGGTGGTTCTGTCAACACGGGAATCTGGACCGAGTGATGATTTTGGGACGTTGGCAGGCCCAGAAAACTGCACGCCTGTATCTTAACGAGTCCGAGCCATTTTGGCCGAAATGAAACTAGGACCACTTGAGAGACGTTTGGCACCCTTTCGCACCTTTTTTCAGAATTCAGACCTCAGACAGTTTGAGACACTTGAGCCGTTGCAAAGCAACAGGCCGACCTCACGCAAGCGAGGTCTGGGGGACGTGCAAAGAAGCATTCCTCCACTAAACCAGCAAAGAGATGAGAAAAAATGCTGGTGTCCCTCGGGGCCTGGCCAGGGTTTGGGGTGTGGCCGCGTGGCCCACCTGGTCAGGGGGGACGATTATCCGGAAACGCCCCCTTCCTCGTGTTGTGGACCGGCAAGGAGGGGATAATCAATTCGTTCTTTTTGGGAAATCATTTTTTGCTCCCAACTTTTGTTATATTCTGACAATCTAGCTGCAGAGCGAAAAGAAAAAGAGGTGCGGATTATTCTTTACATGCATATATAACTTAACCAAAAGTCCAAGGAGGCAATTGCGTGCTTGCCAGGGCAACGACCATTATTTTGCCGTTAGACCTCATTTGAATTTTTTGTTGTTGGCTGGAAGTTGAACTTGTTACTCAACCAGGTCATAACTAGATACATTTCATCGAGCAACATTTTGCCATTGCCTTCAAATCAAATCAATTCCAGGATCGGAGTTTTCGTCCATCAGCGCTCACCCAGACCCAGAGGAGGACCCCTGGTCGTGCATTGACCTGACTGGTGCCTCACAGAGTTCCCAATCTTGAATGGTGCGAGGGGTGAGCAGGGCCAGAGAGCTTGTTTTGTTTGTTGTTTTTGATGAGCAGTTCTTGGGCTTGTGGGTGGGTTCAACGCAAGGCTCAAGCAGACTGTCCGTCACTGACAATTTCTTCGACCGCTACTTTGAAAGCTACATTTCTTACCCTTTCCCTCCTTGCGCGACGGGCGTTCCAACCATCGTGCGGTCAGGCTCGGATAGGGGGAAAGAGGGGAAACCGACCTTTAGGTGGAATGACAACCCTAACCTATTTAAATAGATTGGAAGACGAATGTGTTGTTGTTTTCTGGGCTTTTCTTGTAGCCCAGCAATTTGTGAACTCTCAAAGGCGAGATCCGGCACCCAATCTACTTTGAGGGTGATCGGCAGGACGCAGATTGGGTGGGGGGCATCCTCATCAGAGTTCAAGAGGATGTTGCAATAAGCTTTAGAACAAGGTATCTAGATGCAAACAGATATACCATAACCTCCAACCCATACTGAGGGAGGGAGTCCGGAGCCGCTGGGAGTGCAGGTTTGTTGCAATATAATGTAATGTATGTACTGCAGCATTTATATAATTCATAAGCACTTTTTTTTGCCGGGGACAACAAGGATAGAAGAAGGGAGACACGAGCGAGACAAGACGGACACAGTGACCAACAAGAAGGGAGACAAGACCGGAGACAAAGGGAGACCGAAGGGAGGCAAGGCGGACACACTGACCAACAAGAAGGCAGAAAACCAACAACTAGGGAGACAAGAAGGGAGACAATGCGGACACAATGCAGGGAGACAAGAAGGGAGACAAAACGAAACAGTGACCACCAAAAAGGGCAACAAGACGGGACAAAGGGAGACAGAAGGGAGACAAGGCAGACACAATGACCAACAAAAAGGGAGAAAAGGAGACAAAAGAAAACAGAAGGGAGACAAGGCGGACAAAGAGAGACAAGAAGGGAGACAAGGCGGACGCAATGACCAACAAGCAGGGAGACAAGAAGGCAGACAACAGAAGGGAGACGGGCACAGTGACCACCAAGAAGGGAGACAAGACGGGAGACAAAGTGAGACAGAAGGGAGAAAGGTGGACACAATGACCAACAAGAAGGGAGACAAGAAGGCGCACAAAAGGAAACAGAAGGGGGACAAGACGGACACTAACCACCAAGAAGGGAGACAAGACAGGAGACAAAGGGAGACAGAAGGGAAACAAGGCGGCCACATGACCAACAAGAAGGGGGCGACAAAAGGAAACAGAAGGGAGACAAGGCGGACACAATGACCAACAAGAAGGGAGACAAG